ATCCTATCTGAAAAAAATTATAAATAAGGGGCTGGAAATATAGCTCAGCAATTCAGAGTACTTGCTGCTATTACAGGGGATCTAAGTTGAGTTTCCAGCAACTACATGGTAGCTCACAACTACCTACAACTCCAGTCCAAGCCTAAATGAAATTGCACCATATGGAGTGAGAATGCTCCCTGCGAGAGCCACGCATTATTTAACACAAAACTCAGAACCAGACATGAGAAATCTCCCTTTAAGTTGTAGATCAGGGGAGTCCAAGAGCAAAACAATATAGGCTATTGTCAACATACATATAAAAAATGTAACAGTATTGCCATTGTCTTGGATTGTCTACCAGAACTTGAAGGCAAGACCCTATTGCTGAAGACATCACAGAACTTAGAGGAATTGAGTTGGAAGTGACCTAGGTGCTTCCTCCATGAGAATTAGCTCTCATAGTATCAGAACATGCTATGTAAACTGATGAAGGAGAGAAGCAATCAGTAGTCCTACCCAAGTGTGGGCGAGCAGTGCTTTCCAGGAGTAACTTACCGCTGACTATATCACTAAAAATAAAGTGCCTCTTCCCCACCCCATCAACAGTAACAACCTCAGCAAGGGGAGGGGCCTTGTGAGACCCCCTCCCCCATCCACACTGAGACTCAATCTTGTGGAGATCTTCTCACCGCTGCTGTGAGTTCAAGACTGTTTCCTCCATTTCTGCATTTTACATTTTTTCCAACCCTTCTTCCACAGTAGTCTCTAAGCTTTGGCTGGGATGATAAAGATGTCTTGCTTATGGCTAAGCGTTCCACAGTCATTTATTCTCAGTATTCTGACCAGTTGAGAGCCTATGAAGTCATTGTTGACCATTGTTTCTCTGATCAAAGATACGCTAATGGACGGACACAAGCATAGCAATAGAAAGTAACTTGATGAACAGACATAGCATGCGTATTTATCAAAACAAGTTCGTAGCTGCCGGGCGTTGGTGGCGCACGCCTTTAATCCCAGCACTTAGGAGGTAGAGGCAGGTGGATCTCTGTGAGTTCGAGGCCAGCCTGGTCTACAGAGTGAGTTCCAGGACAGCCTCCAAAACAATACAGAGAAACCCTGTCTCAAAAAACCGAAAAAAAAAAAAACAAGGTCATAGCTTACTCAGTAGAGCTTCTGCCCTCCTCAGCCAGTGACTTTTGGCCAGGTTTTTAGTACCAGAAATGAATGACCTCGCATGTGTGTGCGTCAAGTCCAGTCAAGGAGGTGACTGGCTATCCCATGACCATCGTGCCATTATAGCACCAGTGGGTACATCTCGCCTGGCAGGTTGATAATATGACACACAGAATCCATAACTGGAGTAACACCATTAATAGTTCTCCCTCGGCAGTCTTCAAGGACCTTCCATCATTCCAACTAGACAGCATTTACAATATAAGAAAATTCGTTCTCTTTCTAACTGATTCCATCTTTTTTAAAAGGCACATTATTTTCCGTGCATTCAAAGAGTGGAAAGAGGGGCTCTTCATTCTTTGTCATGGCACCAAAAAAAAATGCTTCAAGAAAAGATTCACTCACTAACATTATTCCTGCTTATGCAGGACACCCACACACTATCTTTTGTGCCAAACTCTTGAAAGGTCTTACAAACAGTGGGATCTCAGTATGAAACAAATGAACATAGATTCCACAGGTCTTCGTTTCATAAAAGCCTCAGACACAACTACTGTGTGAAGCTAAGCATCACATTAAAACTTCTCAGGAGACGTTCTGTGGCTCATATACTCACTAGATTTCCCGGGACACCTAAAGGAAAACTAAGCACCTAAGCCAAATCCCCAGTAGATGGCAGTATAGGGGCAGCCAGTGGTGTTTCATCCAGGAAGTCTTGGATTCTTTTGGAATATTTCCTTTAACTTCTTTCCTTTAAATACCCAAGCAAATACAGGGGCAACACTAAAGTAACTATGAAAATAAGTCTTCTGTTCATTGGAACTCTTCTTTAGTTTTCATTTAATGTAATTGGACAACTTTAAAGCAGGTGCCTCAAGAAAGAATAATGTTTTCCTGTGCGGTAAGTTGGTAATGAGGTAAAGGAGAAAGTAGGGGATATTAGCCTCAAAATGGGACTATAGACTACAGTATGAATTTTTCTCTTAGATTTGTTCAGTAAACTGAAAAGTAAAGTCTGACATTTTTTATAGAAATAAACCCCCACTCATAGTCTATGTCTAGGTCCCACGTAGGTACTTCTATGTTGTTCCCTAAATTCCAACTGTAAAATGCTATATAAAGAAAAATATTTTTCAACTCAGGGCCCATTACATGTTGGTCACTCCCACAGCAGGCCTGCTCAGGCAACTGACTCAAAAATTTTGTCTGGAACAAAAAAAAATCACTCACTTGACTCTTATAGAAATTTTCATCTGGCAATGAGGATGGATTTGTGTTACTAGCTACAAGTCAACTATGATGGTAAAGAAAATCTTGGGTCCAAAGTGCTGGCTCTAATTGAACAGCTCTTGTTTGAAGTCTGGAGTCCTGTTTCCAATACCCACATCAGAAAGATTGCAATTCAAGCCCCAGGAGATCTGATGCCCTCTGCTAACCTCTATGGGTCATAAATATCCAAGATTTACATTTCAAATCCAGCTGATGTCAGGTTCTGCTTGTTTTCATCTTTTACTAACATGGTTCTCAGACACCTGACAAGGTTGGTGATTGGTCTTTCCAAATTAGGTTTTATACGCACCATGTGCTGCGTGTTTTACCAATGCTGTGATACGGTGTCTCAAAGTAATATCATTTCTTCTAGATTCCTACCAAACAATGATCCTCTCTAAGCTCTGAACCCCTAGATCAGGCAGGTTGAGAAGGTGAATCCCTGAGTAGATGCGATCCCATCCCTTCTCAACATGAAGAACTTTAGGAAAATGACCAGCTCTGTGTGTGTGTGCACATGTGTTCCTTGTACACATGTCTGCAATTGTTTGTTCACATGTATGCAGCCACAGGCCAGTGCTGACTTTTTCTAAGTCAGTCTACACCTTACTTTTTGAGACAGGGTCTCTCACTGAACCCGGAGCTCATCAGTTCCACAAACTAGTTAGCCAGCCAGCTCTAGAGATGATCTGTCTCCACCTCCCAGCACTGGGGAATACAAGTGCACACAGCTGTGCTCACCTCTTTACAGGGTTGCTGGGATGCAAACAGGTCTTCATGTTTCTACAAGAAGCACTTTGTCAACTGAGCCATCTCACCTGCCCCTGAACGACTCTTTGGATTAAGGGATAGGAGGTCTCTAAAGGGGGAAAGGTAGCATAGAAAGACAGGGGAAATTAAGAGGATGTAGGGAAGAAAAAGAGATTTAACAACAACAACACAAAAGAATATTCCTCTGGATCTGGTCTTTGTCTCTCACTGACTGAGAGTCATGAACCCTAACACTGTCAAGTAATCCACTGCAATCTACCAGCACAGGAAGATTGTTGGAGTGGCCAATGAAGTGCAAGTATATACCCAGGATAAGACTGTGCTTTTGAGGCTGGAGAGATGGCTCAGTGGTTAAGGGCATTGACTGCTCTTTCTTAGAGGAACCAGGTTCAATTCCCCGCACCCACACGGCAACTCACAGCTGTCTGTAACTCCAAAATCTGACAACCTCACACAGACATATATTCAGACAAAACACCAATGCACATAAAATAAAAATAAATAAAAAAGACCGTGCTTTTGCCTTCTTACAAAGTATAACAAAAATTATTTGGGTTGGCGGACCTGTCTTTTTTTTTTCCCCAGTGGGTGTCGGAGTTTATTTCCTGGAAGAAACAGCGTTGCAGAAGGGAATGAGTGATGAATAAGTGGGCCAATTTCTAGGATAGTAACACTATTCTATGTAATAATTATATTGTGATGCTGGATATATGGCATAAATATTTGTCAAAACATACAGAAGCACACAAGCAATGATTAGGTCCATATTCTCTTTTTATCTTAACAGCACTCCTTTCTCATATGCAAGCAACTCAGTATGCCCACATTGGTCATCACAACAATCCCATTAAAAAGAGAAACTTTAAATACACCATGACATTCTGTCTTGTCATTAGTGATAGATTACCAATTTGGAGGATGTACTTAATTCCCAATCCATGTGTACAGTGACTACATACAGTCTATGTAGTGATAGACACTTATATTCTTCTTTTTTTTACCATGCCTGTATTGGATTTCCTTCAGTCCATATTTTTTTCCTTTGCCTAAAAATTCCAAGATTGCTTCAGGCTGACTCATTCTGAAATTCTTTTAAGTGACATAAATTAAGCATTGAGTTCCTGGCTACAGCTGCATAGACACTCCACCTCGGGGTGGGAGAGAACTCAAATCACTAAGACCATTTGACTGTTGTTAGGATGGCATTTCTCTTCTCAAAAGGCTATCAGAAAAGACAAAGGTTTGCCCATCTTTCTCAGACTCTAAGTTTTCACCGGTTTCCTCCACTCTCATCTGGGAGATAATAATACCTAGTTTTGTGGTTTGTGACTGCTGGTTCCAGCCACCCAAAAAAAAACTAAAGAACCATCGACCACGAATGTCAGCATGTTGGACCCCAGAATGGCAACAGAGGACTCTTTTCTTACCAAAGAGCAAAAGGATGTATTTAACCAACTCAGTAGGGACTGGAAGATTCATGTTATCCTAGGCAAGATCATTATGAGCTACCCATTTGCCAATTCAAAGCATATTAAACCCCAGATTATTTCTTATAAGAAATAGACTCCATAAAATTCTCCCTAGCTTACATGACTCTTGCATAGAAAATGAAAAGATAGGACACTCGTCTCATTAAATGGGCACAACACTGCCTATTGTCTAGAACAAGCAGTGTCGGGCACATCCCTACAGAGCAGCACACGCCGGCCACTACTGTTGACTATATTGGTTTTTGCAAAATACTTTCCCAAGGCTTGAGTTCTGTCTCCTCTTACAGTACATAGTCATTAAGAAGCAAAATTTACCCATGTCACCATCAGTTGAAAACCGTAGTACAGAATCCGAAACCTCATGCGGTGTGGGATGGAAGGAGGTATATCAATTTTGAGGAGGTAGTTTAAGAGAACCCATAGGTTGACTCCCAGGACCAGGAGACACATGGCAGCAAGGACGAGCTCGCAGGCAACCAAGGAAAGCATGGCACTCTTGCTTGTTCAGAGTGAGACGAGGAAAACCAGTCCCTTCAGCAGACTTCATTGAACTCATCCACAAACCCAGGCACCTTATAACCTGCCGAGAAGTACATGGCCTGACTCCACCTCTTTTAAGCTGTTCTCAGTATCAAAAGCATCCCCTTGTGAACTGATTGCATCAGATTGCAGCTTGGACATGGCCCTACCTAGTGGAGCCCTGGTACTTTGTCCCCAAGGCAGGTCAGTCTTTCATCATAGCACCCCAGCACTGACCATCCTGGGTAGCAAATGGACTTACAGTTGAGCAAAGGCTGGCTGGAAGGTAATATCGGTTCACAGGCATATTTCTGGGAGGTTGAGGAAACTCTCTGAAGTCAAGTGCTCTGTGACTCTCCTCTCAGGTGTGAAATCAGAGATTAGAGCAGTGGTGGTGTGCCAAGGTGACACATAAAGAGAACGAGCACAATGGAGGGAGAAGGTGACCAGACACTCTCCTTTACCTAGCCATTCCCCGCTCCCTAGCCTGATCTGCTCAATGTCAAAAAGCATGGTCCCTACACTGGCCCTGCTCTGTCTCTTCTCCAGGTGGATAAAGCACTGTAGTACCCAGGAACAACTGGTTTTATCCCCCCACAGCAACTCTGGTGTCAAGGAAGAAGCATCGAGTCCTTTGACGTTGCACACTGTTGTAACTTCCTCAGCTGAAATGAGCACTGGACACTTTAGAGATGGTCAGTGAATTCCTGCAGCTTCTCAAGCTGGTCCTCTCCTAGATGAGCCTTGAGATAACAAGAGTTCTGGCTGGCTCTTGGTTGGAGTTTAGAAGGCCCTGAGCCAAAGGCAACAGTAAGGCTCTGCCCAGGGTCCTACACTGGCTTTTGCTGTTTGCAGCTGCAAACACTCAGTGTGATAGTGTGTAGGGGAAAGAAACAGTGAGCATTGTGAGTGCCCAGAGAGAAACGCTGCCATCATAAAAATCTGAAGATGTGGTTGCTGGACTTGAACTTATATTCCATAGGCAGCCTTCATTTTATGAAGTGCACATGCTAGAATTTCCCCAGCTGAATTTCCAAATGCCCAAGAAACCATTAGATTGCAATTCAGACTTCCAACCTATAAGACCAGTCATATGATGACATCCATCATAATGCTCCCTTAAAACAAAGGGAAATTCACTATATTATAGAGGTGGGATGGCATTTATGACTTTAAAATATGATCCTCTAATTCTTCCACTTACATGGTGCACAGATACACATGAAGGCAAAAGCACCTATACACACAAAGCCAGATAAAAGGAGAAAACTGATGCAAAATTTAGTGACATTATGTAAGTCAACAAAATGAAACAGTAGTCCCTCACATAACCCCCAAATCCAAGTTATTTCGAAGGTATGAGTCTTTGGATTGGCACGGGGGTAGGCTCTCCTTGTGAACTGACTGTGGCTATTTGTACCAACTAAATATTTAATTTATGTGTACTTTATTCTTTAAGTCATAGTCTTCTTATGTCGTCCTGTATGGCATCAAACTGTCCATTTTCCTGCTTCAACCTCTTGACTCATGCAAATCTTCTACCAAATGGCTTCCAGTCCACCAGGGATCACAACCATTTGTTGGATGGACCCTACACAGCAAAAAGAAAATACCATTTTCCCAAGGATCCCTGGACATCTGTTCTGAGTGGATATTGGTGCTGAGAAATAATATTGCTGCTATAGCTTTTACAGTCAGAAGGGCTTATTGTGGTCAGGGGCAGACCAAGACTAACTTCAAGACTGTTTCTTGATCCAGAAACACATTCATTTCTTATGGTCTTTTTGCTAGCATGTGTCTTAGAACAGGTGCTTTTAGAGACCCTCCCTCCAAAAAACCAACACTGACTCTGACCACAAATTAAGACTCAGTTTGATTAAGATGGGCCATGGAAAAGTCCCTTGAACCTTCTCCATTGTGCCAAGATCAGTAGAGTAGAAGTCACACTGCATGTCAAATTCAGGGTGACTAAGAGACATATCTATCACACCCCCATTCCACTCACCTGACTGGAATGTTCAAAAGCCAGATGTGCCTTGCAAAATGACTAAAGGTGATTCTAAAATTATTCAAAAGGTGACTAAAAGTTCAGCTGGTCCCCAGCTGTACCACCTTCGCTGAATCATGTAAACACAGCCCATAACATATGGGAAGCAGTCACTCATCGGCTCGACGCCTTTTTCTCCAGACCATTGGGTAAAGACAGAAACCACTTCCCTCGTACCAGTAGGAACAACAGGAAATATTTGCAACCTGACCTCGGGGGTTTTCTGCTGTCTGCTCTAATACAGTGTCTTTCTCAGAGATCTGGTTGCTTTGATATTCCAGAGGAGACCACTGTAAGCCACTGTGTTTCAGTTACGGTGTCCAGTATTCATGAATAGTGCAGAATGCCACGGGGAGACTTTGGCAAAGTGGAAGAGGTAAAGTCACCCAGAAGCTCTCAGGGGACAGTGACCACAGTGAGGCTCCTTGTGGTTCTAAAATGTGAGCAGTGTTGAGGTACATCCTCCAGGTTGGTGATGAACCGCTACACGTATAGCACTTCCCATAAAAATAGTGCTCCGGGCCGGGCGTTGGTGGCACACGACTTTAATCCCAGCACTCGGGAGGCAGAGGCAGGCAGATCTCTGTGAGTTCGAGGCCAGCCTGGTCTACAAGAGCTAGTTCCAGGACAGCCTCCAAAACCACAGAGAAACCCTGTCTCGAAAAACCAAAAACAAAAAAAAATAGTTCTCTGTGTGTGCTATATGAGTGTGTACATATGTGAGTGCACTCCCCCATGTAAGTGCACGTGGGAGCTCAGAGTTTGACATGGAATTTCTTCCTCTATCAGTTTCCACCTTACTTTTGGAGACAGGTTCTCTCGCTGAACTGCGGGACTCTCTGTTTTGACTGGACTGACTGTCCAGTGCTTCTGTGAGATCAGCCTTTCTCCTCCATGCTCTAGTGATGGGGTTGCAGCCGTGTCACTGCTCCACAGTTTTTATATGGGTGCTGGGGATTTGAACTCATATCCCCATGCTTGTGTAGCATGCATTTCACTCAGTGTGTTGTCTTCACAGCCTGCTGGTCAATGTTCTTCATACCGTTATAATACACCCACAGCAGACATGTTGGCTGCCTCAAGTCAATGACAAATCCTAGCATCTTCCTTCTATTTTATGTGGGAGCCACAGTGTTGGGAGGACCTATGTCTGGTTCTGGATACTACAGAAGCAGCATGGCTCCCTGAGAATCCTATAATAGTAGACAAGCCAGTATACTCATCAGATACTCACACAACCTTCTTCCTTTCCTTTCCCACGTATATCCTTGTATTTGGATGTGGTTGATGCAATCTATGTTCTGACAGTATCTCTTACAATCTAAGAGACTCGACCTGTTTCTGGACATCACAATCAGAGTTAATAACACACTTTGCAGTCACTGTTCACCTTGCCTTTAAGAGAACAATGTAAAAGCCAACCTTACTTGCCTTGGGTTTCCCACGTGGTCAACTTTTATAACCTAAGCTAATGCATAACTATAATCTTAACTTAAATACACTTCCATGCCCCTGAGTCAGGTAATGAATGTGTGTTGTTTGCTGAAAGCAGAAAATACAGAAGTTGAAAGCAAGTTCCCAAAATCTACCATAAAGGCTGAAAGCAACAATATACGGATACTGGTTGATAAACAATGATTGTTGTCTGAGTCAGTTGGGATTAGTCGCAACCAGGGACTTAATCCCTTATACAACTCTATTAAAGTTTTCTGGAAAGTGTCCCATTCCTTCCTCATGTGATTTGTTTTGTGTTGCTCCATAAATATATAGCGAAGCCCCTCGTGAGGGAAAGTCACCCTGCCCACATACAGACACTATTCTCACACATTCACACACATGGTTCATACAACATCCAACCATCCATCAGGATAGATACACAGAGATGTGACCCTATGGCCATCTAGATAAATTGCCTCAAGTTCCTGTTGCTCTGATCTCCTCCCCCTCAATCACCACAATGAGTTATACCTTGAACTACGAGCTAAAACAAACCCTTTCCCCTTTAAGTTTTTATTGGAGTGTTTTATCACAATAGGGAGAGAAAGTGAAGTGTCCAGGAACCACTCAGCCAGGTTTACTGCAAAGTTAAGCTTAGCTTCTTGATGACATAATGCTGATGTATTTATGGTCATGCTCCAATATAAACTCTATTTCTTTCCCAAGAGCAGCCTCGGTGCCTTGTATCCGAGAATCATTGTCTCCCTATGCCTTCTGGCTGGAGCCTAATCACTTCGGTCTCTAGAGAACTTTCTACTTTCTGGCCATGGAAACTGGAGAAGGTCTTTGGTGCGGCTGAGTGGTGTGGGGTTTGGGAGGGGGGCTGTCGTGGTTTCTGCACAGTGTGTCACGGCACAGAGCAGGACAGGCAGTGTCCACAATGATGACTCAAGACTGCAAAGGTGTGCAGCTGGGCCTGCCACAGGAAGGCACATAGCTTCGCTCTTACTAATTGGTATGGAGAAAAAGGCACAGAACAGGTGACCTGGGGCTTTTCCAAGCGCCTGGCCCTGTGTTTACCTGATTCAGTGGAGACACTACAGCTGGGGAGCAGCTATAATTTCAGTCACTGCATGAGTCACTTCAGGGTCAAGCACACTCATTCCCCATGGTCTGCCTGACTTATGAGCACTTCAGGTGGCTGAGCTAGAGCAAAGGGTGACACGGTGACATTTGAAGCCTTTTGTGGTGATCTGAAGGTCCGCAGTGCTTTGTGGGATACGGGGCTGCTTTTCTTTATCATTTTTTGCAGAGGGGGTGAAGTCCACCCGGCTCCCTCACAGGGACTCCCACTCTGTGCCCATAAAGTTAGTGTGCAGTTCTTTGAGTTTGCCAGTACACCTATTGCCTGGACAGTACAGTCAGCAGCTGAGAATACACACACGAAAAATGTCTGTGGGTCAAGGAGACCATCTGAGGCTAGAGG